AATCCCCACCATTGCTGCTCTGCCACAGGGGCTGGGGTCTTGAAATAAGGGAACAGCAGCTGCAAAGGCCCGAGGCAGGAACAAGCTGTCAGAGAACCAGGTGGAGAATGGACTGCAGCAGGACAAAAATGGGACCAGGGAGGTGCCTGCGGGGCCCGTCCTAGATGCCCAGGCCAGAGGGGCTGGTGTGGCGGCTCTGGGCCGTGATTAGCTCAGACAGTGCAGCAAGTCTTAGTCACACTTGGGCGATACTGAAAATAATCATGATGGTAATATAAGTCATATCAGCAGTGGCCGTTCATTCAGGCTCTATCCTGGGTCCATCATTTCATGTTGGAAATATCCACTTGCACCCTAATGTTCTGTTCACCCAACAGCCAGACAGATCCCATTACAGCATAATTAAGATCATTCATAATCCTCCCTGTCTTGCCAGTGGGTTTCAGCCCTGGACAAGTCCACTATGGATTCAATGAGGCCAAAGGAATGACAGTGGAACGTTTCTGGGGCGAAAGGGTTATACCCAACTTTATTCCCACGGTGGCAGGTCAGTCACTAAAATCCTATCCACTCAGAGCGAGTCTGCACACAGCAAGCCGGTCTCTGCCTCTGGGCCTCTTTGCCCTGCAGCCGTCCCAGTCTCTGTCCTCGGCACTGCTACCACCCCAGGCTCTGCTCTGCTTTCCTGCAGCCGTGCCACCGTGTTGCCCAGAGCACTTTATATAGAGTAAATAATGATGCATTGCTCACGAGTGTAGCAAGCTCACCAACCAGGGCCGGGTGAGAATCCTGGCTGCAGGAACCTTGACTTTATCCACACACCCACTTCAGCAGGTAAAAGCCAAAGTCCTTGCAATGGCCTTCCCGCCCTACCTGGACATCCCTTCACTCCAGCCACTCTGGCCTCCTTGCCTTTGGCACAAAAACCTGCCTCAGGACCTTTGCACTGACGCTGGGATGGACCTCTGCCTGGAATGCCCCTCCCGCAGAAGATCCACAGCTCCCTCACTCCCTGCAGGTCCCCACTTCCTCAGAGAGGCCTACCCTGGCCACCCCCAGAACAGCACCTCCCCCTGCAGGCCACTCTCCACCTGCCAGGACAGCCCGAGTCACCACCTGACCATCAGGTGAATGTCCGCCTTGCCTGGCACCCTCCTCAACAGCTGTTCCTCCTCTGGCGGCTCTGCCTAGGGGAGCTTAGTCCTGGAAGGTTGACTTGGGGAGGGGGGCTGCAGAGCGCAGGCCGCCTCTCCTGGGGACTCTGCCCCCCGAGGTTATAGGACACCACCCTTCTGACCCCTCTTCCTATGCACTTAAAGCTGCTCTGTCCCCTCCTGCAACAGAACATGCTGGACCCAGGGTAGTATCTGCACATCGGATCTGAAGAACATGGTGGAGGGGGAACTATGCCAAGTAAGTATGCAAAAGTGACAAATCTGAAACCGTGGGGGGAAGGCTGGAATGCCCACGGCTGGTGATTGCCATCACATGACTGCCCACCCTGCGGACGGCAAGCCTGTGCTGTTTGGGTTGAGGGCCTTGCTGCCGGCTGCCACCAGGGAGCGGCTTCAGCATCCTGTGCTGCGGTGGCATCGAATGCCAATTCCCTTTCCACGTTACCTTCACGTACCCTGCATTTCAGAAGCTCTGAAACAAGTATTTTTGGTAACTCCTCTAGGGGCCCAGCTCCTTCCGCAGCTGTCGAGGCTGGGGGCCGGATGACCTCTGGGGGAACGCTCCGTTCTTCCCGCAGCAGGAGGGACTGCAAAGGGACTCCGGTTCCCTGTGGGCGGCAGGAGGGACTCTGGCGCAGACTGTCACGAGCACCACCAGCCTCCTGCTCCCGCCCTGCGGCGGGGACCCGACAGCACAGAGCCGATCAGCCAGCGCGGGAGGCAGTGAGCTGGCAGCGCAGTCCCCAGAGCGGCCAAAGTCGGCGCGGAGGCCCCTCACCCACAGACAGTCGGGCGCTGGCGCAGTCGGTGGGATCGGGGTCCGGGCGGGGGCTCCCCGGGCCTGGCCGGTGCCCCTGAGCTCCGGAAGGACGCAGGCCCCGCCCACGGCCCTCCTGCGGCGAGGCCGGTTTCCCTTGCTCTTCCCATGTGGAACTCCACCAGATCCCACTTCATTCATCCATTTACCCAGCACTCCCTGAGCACCTACTGTGTGCAGAGGCCTGGGCTGGGCGACGGTCAGGGGAGGGGGCCAGTGTGGCCCACGACCCTGAATATCTCGGGCTGGAGCTGGGCAAGTCCAACTATCCATTCAGTCACTCAGTACTTCTTGAGGCCCTACTGTGTGCTGAGGCCTGAGCTGGGACAGGTCTGGGGCACGGGGAGGAACCAGCTCTGTCGTGCCTGACTCTGAATGACTCCAGGGCTGGTGCAGAGATGTGCAACTATTCGTTCGGCCACTTGGCACTCCCTGTGGACCTACGTGCTGAGTGAGGCGTGGGCTAGGCAAAGCTGGGGTCATAGCAAGGAACCAGTGTGTGGGCGCTGGGTCAGAGGGAGAAAGGCACACAGATGCCGTCCTCCCAGGCCCCTCACCGCCCTCCCTGGTAGGACTGCAGCGGAGGAAGCTGGTGGGCAGGGAGTCGGTCTGTTCTCACATGTTTACGCGTCTGTGTCTCTCCCTGCCAGCTTCCCCTCTCCCCAGTTACACACATTAAACATACACATGAAGATTTGAGTGCTTTCAAACCTTGACATTATTTTCTGACAAATCACATCACTTTTAAAAAGCTTCTTTAAGGCCAGGGAAATCTGACACTGGGTTAGACACTGGATGATACTAAGAAATTACTACTGTCATTAGGTGCTGTGTTGCTGTGGTTGTATGGAAGACACTTTTTTTTTTTGTAGAGATGCGATTCAGGTGTTTAGTGGTGAAGTGAGATCACATCTGTCACTTACTTTAAAATAGACCAGAAAGTCATACAAATAGTCATGTTTTCATGACTTATTTTAAAAGCAAGTATATACATATCATGAAACATGATAAATTTTAGTAAAAGGCCTTTCTAGGTATTGTACCTTTATATTTTTTAAAAAGGCATTGAATCTGGGTGGGAATATGGGCATTTACTGTACTTTTTACTTTTCCATATAATTGAAAAATCTGCTAACAAAAATTTTTCTACCGTGTTTTTTTTTTTAACAACATAAGGTGGGAGCCTGTGCTGCCCCACGACACCAGGCAATCTGTTGGCCAACTTGTAATGAAGGCATCTGAGCTCAGAACTGAAGAGTACCTTCAGTGACTTTTTCTTCTGGAGCCAAACAAGACATGGTGAAATCAGAACAATCACAAGTTAATTCCAAACCTAACATTCTTAGGCTAAACTTGGTGAAATGGTAACATCCATC